AGCTAGTATGAGCTGTGCTGCTATAAACATGGCTATGTATACATCACTGTAATATTATGTCTTTAACTCTTTTGGGAAGATACTTAGAAAGGAAGAGCTAAGTCGAATAGAATTTCTATTTTCAGTTGAGGAATCTCCATACTGTATTCCATAGTGGCTGCACTAGTTTACACTCCCCTCAACAATGTAGAAGGGTTCCTTTTCCCCCACAGCCTCCCCAGCATTTGTTATTATTTGATTTCTTGATGATAGCCATTCTTTCTGGAGTGAGATGCAGTCTCACTGTTTAATTTGCACCACTCTGATGGCCAGTGGTGCTGATTATTTCTTCATGTATTTATGGGCTATTTGTACTTCTGTGAAGTGTCTGTTCACTTCAGTCACCCATTTTTTTATTGGGTCTTTTATTTTTGGGGTCAAATTTTTTTGAGTTCTTTATATGTTTAGATATTAGTCCTCTGTCAAGGCATAGCTGGCAATTTTTTTTTTTTTTTGCATTCTGTAGGTTGTCTCTTCAATCTGTTAGTTGTTTCCTTTGATGTGCAGAAGCTTTTTACTTTGATGTGATTTCATTTGTTGATTCTTGGTGTTATTTCCTCTGCTAGTGGGGTTCTGATCAGAAAGTCTTTACCTACACCTATGTCTTCAAGAGCTCTACTTATTTTATCTTCCAGCAGAGTTAAGAGTGTCTGTTTCAGCATTTAAATCTTTGATCCATTTTATACATGGTGAGATACATTGATCTAGGGTCAGTCTTCTGCATGTAAATAGACAACTTCCCCACCAATAGCTGAATGTGCTCAACGCAGGCAGGTTTAAGTGCCCCTCATCCACATTTCCATTCCCTTTCGCCATGATACTTCTAAGTCTGCCTTTCAGCTCAGTGAGAAGCTCCTTGGGCTCCAGGACTATGAACGCTTGTATTTCTATTCCCACATCTAACCAGTGTCTGCACATAGACAGGACTCATTCAGAATCTTGCTGGGACCCTGACCTTATTAGTCTACTTCCTACTGTCCATGAGAGACAGCTATGCAGCCTCCAAAAGCCAAGACACATGTTTGCATATTGGATTGGCACAGGGAGCGATGAATATTAATAACGAGGAAACAGGCTCAGCAAGGTCGTGTTAGCGTTCTGTCACTGTAACCAACACCTGAGATAAACTGAAAAGGAAGAAAGGTTTATTTTGGTGCACAGTTTCAGAGACTTCACTCCATGGTCGATTGGCATGCAGCTTTGGGCCGGTGGCAGCACAGTGTGTCAGGGTAGGGGCACATGGCCGGGGACGCCCGTTCACCTCAGAGCAGCTGGGATGCAAAAGGAGGAGGAGCCACAGTTCCATTATCCCCTCCAAGGGTACCCCCCCAGGCTGGGGTCAAGCCTTCGACCCATGAGTCTTGGGGGATATTTAAAGCCAAAGTCTAGCAGAGTTTCTCATCCGGCGGACTTCAGGGGCAAGACTGCAGCCCAGATCTGACTTAGAGGTGTGGCTGTGACATCTTGCTTCTGTACATGCCTAACCCATCGCACTCAAATGATTTCCTTCTTTGTGTTGGGGCAAGAGTTCCCAGGTTTCATAAAGAAATGTCACCCACATCATCCCTGAAATCATGACACGGGTCCTATCACTATAAAGATGTTGAGAATGAACATAGCCCCCCTCATTTGTCTGTTATCTACTGTGTTACCCCGACATTCAACTAGACACTAACCCTGACTGTGTCCTCGTCCCTAAACCCAGCCACTCATGCCGAGGGACCCTCCAGGCCCCAGAGGCTCTGCAGTGCACTGATGCTAAAACCTCAGAAGTGGAGAAGGCTGTGCCCTGTCAGAGGGGCCTCCGGGCAGCAGTATCAAGTCCTGGGGGTGACGGGGCCCCTCAGCCACACCTGTGGGCCCTTTGGTTAATGGGTGTGTTGAGGGGCTTTTACTGTAGGAGCGGGCCACAGAGACCTCGGATCTGCCGTGTTCACACCCTTAGATCCTTGGGACTCTTTTGACCTTGGGTGAAATGTTTGTTCAGTATACTCATTTCTGTGCATTTGCTGTGTCTGCTTTCTATTGTTCTTCCCTTCCACCTACCCTCGCTGTTACAAAGGGCCATCCCTGTTACCATGGTGCATTCGGCAGCGCCCACAGACACTCAAGGAAGGATGAATGCATGGAGGGCACAGCATTTATATACAAAATTCAGGGTTAGGGGCTGGGGATTTAGCTCAGCGGCACAGTGCCTGCCTGGCAAGCACAAGGTCATGAGTTCGATCCCTGGTACCAGAAGAAAAGCAAACAAAAAAACCAGTGGAACAAAATTCAGGGTTTCCTACCCTCCCTGACTTTCACCAGAGAAATGCCCTGGCCCCAGCCTATCCCATTTGCAGTCCACATGAATCTGGGGTCAGGCCTCCCCTGGGGAAAACAGAGGTGCCTTGCACCTTTGTGGAGAGAACAGGAGGTGACGTGGAGCTCAACCCATGAGCTCGTCTCTTCCTCAGTCTATATTCCTGTGCTTTGGTCCAGTCCGGACTCCAGCTACCTTCTCCAACTCAGACTCAGTTTGGGTTCCAGACTCAGGAGTGTGTGCAGTTCCCTCTGCTGTGCCTTCTCTGTGGTGTCTAAGACACATCTCAGCTTTCATGACCTGGGCCTCTGCAGCAAGCCCTCCCCCGCCCAGGAGGAAATGCCCGGGCAGACCTCAAGGGGCGCCTGCAGTCCTCCATGTCCCAAACCCCGTGCATCCACAGTTCCCAGCACGCGTGCCTCTGGATCCTGCTTACACACACACACCGCTGCATGACAAATCTGCTGCACACCACTGTCACCTTTCAGCTGGGCCACGACTGGCACATCCCTCCCAGAAGCCCTCAAGTAGTGTCCCTTCCACTTAGAAGAAAGCACAGCTGTTTTCCATGGTACGCCCCCCCCCCATGGGACAGGGAAGCACAAGCATCCCAGCAAGGCACACTGAGGCACTGATCAGTCGGCAGTGACGTGTCTTCAGCACCTTTGCTGAGAGGGTCCATCGGCTTGGACGGTGCTAAGAACCCGTCATGACTGTCCAAGACCCTTTCCAGGTGTGGAGGATGAAGGAAGTGCGCATCCCCATCCCTCTGAGGCTCTAGGTCCCTTGGCCTGTTCCTGGAGCCTCCCTTTTGGTCAAGAGCTAGGACTGCTCAGCACCATGTAGACCTTGGCTGGGGAGTAGGGTGCGGGCAGCAGGGCTTCAAGGTTCTCAGAGAAAGTCCCAGAGGAATGGGGAGAGGTTACTTTCTCTTGGCCCATGGGAGTGGTCTCGGGCCCACAGCCAAGCTGGCATGGTTGCCAGGAAGACTAGGGAAGAAAGCACTGGGCCCTGGAAGGTGGACAGAGGCCAGCAATCGAGGACATGGGGAGATGAGTCCACCAGGATTTAAAATGCGGAAGCCACCAGGCCTTGCAGGGCTCGGGCTGCAGCTGGGTGTGGCCTGCAGGGCTGAGGTAGGGGCTCGGGTTCAGGGTCAGAACAGCTGCCGGGCCCCAGCCAGGGCAGACGGTTGGGTGAGACGAGAGGAGGAAACCAGGCTCAACTGAGAGCATTCAACAGCTCAGACCCTGTGCTAAGTACTTCACGACCAAAGAAAGACCCCGTAATGCTGGGGAGGTGCTGGCTCTCAGCAGAGCCTGGAGGAGGCGAGGACAGATAGATGGGCGCCGCTTCCCAAGACTGCCTCAAGCTGCTAGAGCCTGGGCTACGAGCACGTCCCTCCCCAGACCAGGTTCTCCCTTTGCACCTGTGCGACCCAGTGGCTGATGCTGATTTCCAGATGTGCACAGAGCTTTGCACTTTCCGGAGCCCTTTCACAAGTCCTGCCCCGTAAGGGAGGCAGTTCCTGGGTTGTGGAGTGTTGTCAGGTGCTTCCCGGTCTGTCCTCTTTGGCACCATCTGGTGACACGAGTGAAATTATTTGCCCTCTCTGGGATTCGGTATGCTCAGCAGGCTGCAGACAAGATCAGTTAGTTTTCTGCAGCCTAGGACAGCAAGTGTCAGGCTCGGGGCAGTAGTGAAGGGATTGTCTGGGTTTAAACAAGCCCTGGAGGCTGTGAACAGTAAAGAATAACCTATTCCCTGGGCTCCAGGAAAACAAGCTGCTGTAGCATCATCATTCCTACCACCCAGCTTTTTTTTTTTTTTTTTTTTTTTTTTTTTTGCTGGAGACAGGGTCTTGCTATGTAGTTCAGGCTGGCCTTCAACTCACTATGTAGCCCAGCCTTGGCTCAAACTCACGGCAATCCTCCTGCCTCAGCCTTCTAAATGCTGGGATTACATGCATGCGCCACCATGCCGGGCTCCTGTTCTATTTTTAACTGGAATGTCTCTCTCTGTACCAGAGATGGGCCCTGGGGACGCTGAAGTGGAGCGCACTGTCAGCAAGACCCAAGCAATAAATAGCAGAGGGCAGAGGCTGATCCATTACGAGGGCACCCAGCTGGACAGATGGACAAACCCATCGGCCCAGTGTCTCTGCCAAGAGTGGCGCCGGTCACCACGCACAGCCTGACACCTGTGCAGGGTTCCAGGAGGGTGCGGTGGGGGTCATGGCAGGTGTTAGGGTCCAACCAGTGGGGCTGGGTGACCCTTCCCAGACTAACACTGGTCTGGGCGGGGCGCTGCGGGGAAATCTGGCCCCTTGAGACCCCTGTGCATCCCCACGTAAACTCAGTTTTTGGTACTCAGGCCGGGATGGGTTGGACTTGAATGACAGTGGCTACGGGAACTAGGGGCCCAGGTCAGAATGTCTAGGGCCGATGCTTCTTTCCTACCTCTCGACAGGCCAGCCTGAGGTGGGATCAACTTCCAGTATGTGGGGGGGACCCCAAAAGCCCACTGTGAAGTGCTCTAAAGTACCTCATGGTCAGGGCGTTCTTGCTTCGGCCACAAAACAAGTTCCCTTCTCAGCCCCCGTCCTGACCCTTGGAAGAGCTGAGGTGCTGTTAACCTCTGCTTCCCCTTGGTTTGCCAGGAGAGACCTGCAGAGCCCAACACCGGCGTGGACAGCTCGGCATCCCCGTCGGTGGCTCAGCTGGCCGGGCAGTTTCGAGAGCAGGCAGCTGCGGCCAAGGAGGTGAGGCTGGAGGTGGAGGCACCGCTCCTGCGGGGCTGCAGCAAGGGCAGGTCTGGCTGGGGAGCAGGAGGGAGGAGGCTTGGGAGCGACCAGATTAGGGAAAGAAGCCACAGAGCGTCCCCTGAATGTGAGGAATGTCCACTAGCCGTGCTGTGAGCCCTTCCTCACCAGAGGAGCTGACACCACTAGCCAGGGGGACAGGGAGCGGGGCAGGGAGCAGCAAGGCAGCGACAGGGAAGCGAGTGTGGATTTGCTGTTGTCTTGACCCTCCACACTAAAAGCCTGGACGGCTCAGGGGAAAGGAGTCCGCAAAAGTCCCCAGACCTGGCTCCGGCCCAGTAGTTAGGACTCAGGAGCAGGGGAGGCTGGGAAGGTTCCGAACTGAGACTCTTGGAGGGAAGCACACTGCAGTGGGAAAGCAGAGATCAGGAAGGCTGCTACGAGGATCCTGCTGAAGAAGACAGCATGAAGCTGGGCATGGGGCATGTCTGTAATCCCAGACTCTAGGAGGCTGAGGCAGGAGGGTCACAAGTTCAAGCCCAGCCTGAGCAATATAATGATTTAGGAAGACCATGTCCCTCAGTTCAAAAGCCGTGGATTCAGGGCTGGGGATTTAGCTCAGCAGCACAGTGCCTGCCTGGCAAGCACAAAGTCGTGAGTTCAATTCTGGGTACTGGAAAAAAACCAAAAACCAAAAAAAAAAAAAAAAAAAAAGAAAAACCCTAGAACTATTCCCTGATGCAAAGAAATAAATGAAGAAAAGAAGAGGGGAGGGGAAGGAGAGAAAGGAAAAGAATAAGAGAGAGAGAAAGAAAGACTGTAGGAGGGACCTCGTTATAATGTGGGAGATTGGGACTGCGCTTTCTCATAGTGTGAGGCGCTCCTTACAATGAGGTGAGAAAAGCCATCCCAAGATGAAAGGGGGGTCTCTCATGGCCTGGGGGGTGGGACGAGGGCAAATGAGGGCTACCTTCTCTTGTTTTGTTTTTTTGTTTTGTTTCGGTACCGGGAATTGAACTCATGACCTTGCACTTGCCAGGCAGGCGCTGTGCCGCTGAGCTAAATCCCCAGCCCCTACCTTCCCTTTTTAGGTGCACTGTTTGCCACTTTTGTCTTCTCAACCGAGGAATCAGATCCCTCATTTTTAGACTTTACAGGCCTGTCCTAAAGGACAGAGGAGCCGGCTTTGATCCAGGCACTGGCACTGCTTAAAGCTAGATGCAGATGTCACTGTGAGAGCTGATTCAGGCTGAGTCCCAAGCAAGCGAGAGCAGGACCGGAGAGGGGGGCTGAAGTCAAGGGCAGCGGCCCTGGGCTCACCACCTTCCTCTTCCTGCCTGTTGCCTGATCATCTATCTCTCTCTCTCTCTGTCTGTCGCTCTCCCTCTAGACACCAGCCATTAAACCAAGCAGAAGGAAACCGCCCTGCTCCCTCCCGCTGTTCCCCCCCAAGGTAGACCTGGGTCAGAACGGTGAGGAGGTAAGTACTCCCCTTCGGGACCCTGGTGGGTTTTCTTCTAGGAAGAGGCCCCCAAATCACACCTTTAGGCTTTGAAGTGATGCAGGGGATGTCTCCACTTCAGATTCAAGGATGAGTCCTGGGGATTGAACCAGGACCTTTGCAATGAGCTGCATCCTCAGCCTTCTTTTATTCTGAGACAGGGACTGTCTTCCACACTTAAATCGACCAGCCTGAGCTTGAACTTTTCAATCCTCTTGCTTCAGCCTCCCAGAGTGCTGAGATCACCACGCCCACCCGGTTTGACTCTGTCTCCTTAATGCTTCCCATCCGCTTTACTTTGGAATCTAGGTTTCTCCCTAATCTTTCCTGCTGAGCCTCACTTAGGAGCCTCCTTCATGATCTGGTCAAAGACTGAAAGATTTTTGAAGCCTGAGCATTGAAACAAAAAGAACATGATTCCCACATGCCACTTTTTTCATGATTCCCACCCCATTCAGGCATTAGAAAAGTTACGTTATTTTCCCAGGGCTCATGGGGATGATCTGAGAATAATGTGTGCAGAAGGCCCTTGGACAAGGGCAGAGTTATAACTTGAGAGAATCACAGGGCTCCTCAGGTCCTGGGAAAGCCTGGCTATTGTGTTAGACCCTTGGAAGAAAACCAGAGCGCACAGGCGGCTCACTGCCCTGGGATATAAATAGCCAGCGCTGCCAACATAATAGAGGCGCTGGCAGCACAGATCCTAGCCAGTAATAGATTCCAGCCTGCACACCCACCCACCCACCCTCCGTATCTAACTGCAGCTGCAGCGGTCGCTCTGCACCCTCTGTCGCATAACCCGCCCCGTGGTCCCGGCCGCGCCCTGTTGTGGCTGCGCAGGTCCCCCGCCCAGTGTGGGGGGCCAACCCCAAATCCAGCACTGAGGCACAGGGAGTCGGTTCCCGGATCCCGCTTCAGCCATGTTTTTGTTTCTGCCCTTCTTTGTGGGGGAGCAGCACCCTGACAGCCCGAGTCCTCCTGCATGAGCTTGGACAAGCCCCTCGCTCCCTCCGTGTTCTCGTCCTCAGTGAAACAGTTGAAGTACACGTGGCTTTCAAGCCTTTTTCTCAGCTCCTAAGCAGAAGCCTCTCAGGAAAACTGGGAACTCACGGCCACATCTGACTCAGTGGCGGTGGGGTCGGGTCTGCTCGGAGAACCCCCACCTACCTCCCCCAACAAAGGTCTCACTCCAGAATGAGAACCCTGAGGGGGCCCGTTGGGCTGAGGTCTTGCTGGGTCTCTTCCGGTGCTGGCGTTATGACTCTTGGCTTCATGGGGTTACCAGGCAGTGCTACAACAACAACTGCTCTTTACAGAGGCTCGACTTCCCCTCGCGATCTTCCCCTCAGCCTTGTCTGGGAGGCTGTGGCCGCCTGAGGGTGTCCCCTGATAACCCGTAGCCCAGAGAAGCCACTGCCCCGCACTGACTATGGTTCTGTGTTTACAAAAGGAGGACAAGCGCCAGGGCCCCTGGCCGGGGTGGGACTCACTGGAGCAAAGCAGAGGGGCTCAGCCTGGCAGGGACTTGGAGAAGGGGCTGTGTGGGATCCGCATAGAGCTTTCCTCCCTCACCACCTCCTCCAAGGGCCGGATGAGGAGAAAGGGAGAGTTTCCAAGGGGTGATCAGAAAGTACAGTGAATGCTTAATTTTTTTTTTCCTTTGGTCTTTTTGTAAGTCAGGGTCTTGTTATGCAGTTCAGGCTGGCCTTGAGCTCACTTTGTAGCCCAGGCTGGCCTCAACTCGCAACAATCCTCCTGCCTCAGCCTCCTGAGTGCTGGGACGATAGGCGCCACCATGCCCCGCTGAATGCTTAATTTAAAAAAAATTATTACAGTAAAAGACAGATTACCATGAATTGCCCTCAAAAGACTCGCCCTTGCTTCCAATATGTTTATCTCCTCCTTCTTCCCACTTTTGAAGCCTGTCTGAAAGACCTCTTGCCTGAGTCTCTTTATGAGGCGTGACCAAAAATACCATGCACACTGCTGAGTGCCATCCAAGGGAAAGGGAAGCTCATAAAACATTACAGCGTGTCGTCATCCACCTTATTCACCAGATCTGCCGCTGTGCGACTTCTGGTTCTGACCCCAAAGTCTAACTGACCGTGAAAGGTAAACGTTTTGAATCAGTTCAGGACATAAAGGCAGCCACAACAGTGCAGCTAAAGGCGCTCATGAGAGGATGTCCAGAACTGCTTCAGAAAGGGGCAAGAAGCGTGGGACAAGTGCTCTCCAAGCAGGCGGGAGTGCTTTGAGGAGAATTCATGACAATGTGTCTTTTACTATAATAATTTTTTTACATTTTTAAATACACACCCTATTTTTGGATCATGTCTCACAGACTGAGAACTTCCTGCCGAGCATGACAGGCTGTTTGTACAGGAAGGACTCTACCTCCAGGCAGGGAGGGGTGGTGTCAGGCCAGGCCTTGGCCCCTGATTCACAGGCAGTGCCGGGAGGGCTGCTCTCCTTCTTGATCCTTGCCCCTCCCTATGGTTGGTCCTGAGACAGTGTGGTTCCAGCCCCCCTATACGATGCAGAAAGAGCTGACCAGAGGCCCCTCCTGCGGGCCAGGTGACCAACACTTAGCCTTACTAGGAAACCCAGCTCGAGGGATGTTTAAAGCAGCTGAAAAGGGCTGAAAAACACCCCCATGTGAAAGATCAGGCCCACAGCCTCTAAACATAATAAGACGTTATTGGACGGCATGTAAACGTATCTCTACATTCATGCAAAGGGCTGTGAAGCTCTTTTTCTCCACGGATTTTGTTAGCCCCAGCAGGTGCCTGAAGCCCTTGGTTAAACTAGTCGGGAAATGCTGCCACCTGCTGTCGACCCTGGGAACTGCATGTGCAGTTGTGTAGGGATTCCACTTCTAGTTCGAATTACTAGGGGTTGTTTGACACCTCCGCTGGGTCCCCAGTACCGCCCTGTGGTTTAGGAGCGTTTGCATTGTGGTTTGTTGAATTTCCACTGCCTTCAAAATAAAGTGGTCAGTTGAGAAAGAGTTCACAGCATTACTTAAAAGGAGTTTTGTCAACAAGGTTGTTGCTGCAGTTTGATTTTTGCTGCGGTATCTTCAAAAATACCCGTCCATGTGAAGTTCTACCATGACGCACAGACACAAGGACCACTCCGTGGGGCTGGGAGCTCTTTGTCCTCACCATGGACAAACAGCTCCTTGAAGGACCGCTGCAGGGATGGAAGGGATGAAGGGGGCCACATCACAGGAGGCAGCAGGGGTCTTTCAGCATCGCATCCCTCCCACTGCATGTCGGTGAAGTGTCTGAGGCCAGGGGCATCTGAGCAGCTCTGGTCAAAGCCACAGTGTGAAGGGGCTGGGTCTCCTGTGTCCCAGCCAGTGGCTGCCTCGGCTCTCCCTTGGCACTGGGCTTTAACCGCGTCACCAGATCAGTGGAGTCAATCTCCCTCGTTCCATCACTGAAATGCAATCATCTTACTCAATACTCAGAATATCCCCAAGAGACCAGCATGACTCTTTGGTTCAGGTACAGCAGTACACAGAAGGAAGGGCAGATAATACACGTTGGTCCCACACTATAGGAAGAACCCCTTCTGGGTCTTGGCCTCTCCCCGACATGAAACTCACTCCCTTATTCTTCACCCTCACCATCAAGTCATCCATCCTATCACTGTCATTGTCCCCACATAGCTGTGGACATCTGACATAAAACAAAGAGTCAGTCTTCTGACCACTACCAGAGAGCAGAGACTAAATCATCTTCATCCTCATGCAACCAGCCCGATGGTGGGCGTGTGGTAGATGTTTAATCCACATGCCTGCTTAATTAAAATAAATGCTCAGTGTTTTAAAAATAATAATTTACCAAAACATGCCACTGTTGGAATTTTCCAAAGTACCATTAGTCCAGTGGAGGAATTTCAGTAATACCTCTGTTAGATTTCATTCCTGGTCCATTCTTGCTTTTGCTTTTTTTTTTTTTTTTTTTTTAAAGTCAGGGTCTTGGTTTTTAATTCAGGCTGGCCTTGAACTCACTGTGTAGCCCAAGCTGGCCTCCAACTCACAGTGATCCTCCTGCCTCAGCCTCCCAAGTGCTGGGATAACAAGCGTGTGCCACCACGCCCAGCTCTTGGTTTGTTTGTGACAAACGGAATGGATGATTGCTTTGCCTGTTTTTGGAATTCCCTCCAATGGTTGATTCACCTTGTTGAAGGTTACAAGGCAAAGACCTTTCTCCCCACAGAAAAAATTTCCTTCAAAATGACAGCAAAGTCATTCTTCCTAGGCTGGGGGACCTTGTGTGTCATGGATGGCTGCCTCGACTTCTTGCTCATAGAGTCAAGTGGTCTTGCTTGTAGTGAGATGAGGGAGGGACCGAAGGGGAGCCAGCCTCACACAGGCCTGTGAGGTAAAGGGGCCAGGAAACAGTGGTGACCGACATCTCCTGACTGGGGCTGCTGGGCTCCAGCTACAAGCCCCCTCCCTTCCCCTGTTCATTTGATCTGTTTTGATCTGTTTTCTCTGTAGAAAGTGTCTTCCAATGCCAGCCACCCTCCCAAAATCAAGGTGAAGAGCTCGCCCCTGATTGAGAAGCTCCAGGTAAGGACAAGACGCACTGCCATGGCTCTTTTGACGCAGCTGGCCTCTTCCTCACAGCATGCAGGCCTTTGGAGGGAGGCCTTTGGGACTCCCAGGACTCGTGCCCAAGGTCACCTATAGTTAGCCCGTAGGGACCAGTTAGTGACCAGGTTGCCCAGAGGATGAGGCTCTCACAGCACTCCCCTGGGGCAAAGTAACCCAAGGACTGCATGGAGCCGTGCGCAGGTGGTCAGCACCTCATGGTATGTGACAGGATGCCTCCAAGGGCTCATGGGAGCAGTATACTGTGATGGAACGGAACACCCAGCAATAGCCAAGCCCTCTCCCCACAGGCCTGAGTGTAGCACAGATCACTTCAGCCTTACACATACAGGGCCAAAATGCAGCAGCTACATGGTGTGATGCCGGGGTCAAATTCCTCTTTTGGAGAACATTGCACCTGGCCTTGCCACCGGCTCGTGAACGGTGCTCACGGAGGGGCTGGCTCCCTGGGGGTGGCTGGGATGCAGGTGGCTCTGCCCCTGAACTCCCGATCTTGTTGGGGAGACAAGATTTTCCTATCTGCTGGGCATAGTGGTGCATACTTATAATCCCAGCACTGGGGAGGCTGAGGCAGGAGGATCGCCTGCAAGTTCAAGGCCAGCCTGGGCTACACAGTGAGTTAAGACCAGCCTGAACTACATAGTGAGACCCTGTCTCAAAAAAAATAATATATATATATATATATATATATATATATTCATATCTGGCACAACAAAAGATGCCTAGGAGAGTGAACAGCAGCAATCTCAATTGTGTTTCATGAGCCCACACGCCAGATCCAGTTTGGGGCTTCTCAGCCTCGGCACAACTGGGGGGCTCTCTTGCAAGATAGTTAGCAGCACCCCTGGTCCTACCCCAGCAGCACTTGCAGGTGAGCTGTGACTGGGAAGAAAGTGTCTTCTAACGTTGGCAAATGCCCCCTGGGAGCAAAACGACCCCTTCCCACCTGAGGTGAGAAGCAACAGAGAGTCCGGGCAGAGGGCAGCAGAGCGGGAGGAGACGCGAGCAGCCCGCGTGGGTCCTGAATGCAGGGACCGGGCTGCGAGGAGCTGCAAAGGTGCTCCGGCCACGGGGACAGTGTGACACGAAGGGACGCACAGAGGGGGCGGGCACAAACCTGGAGCCTGGGCTGGGCCCTGACTGCTCCCCAGCTTCTGCCCAGCAGCCAGGAGAAGGAGCAAGGCTGCCCTGCACTGCCAGGTCCCACCAGCCCCAGCGAAGGACACGGGCTCATCCTCTTGTTCTGAGACACCAGCGGGACTCAAGACAAAGAGCCGTAGGCACCACACTTCCCGGCTGTGGGGAGCTCGAGGCCGGTTCCCAGCATGGCTTGGGGCTAAGGAAGACATCTCTGCCCCTTCTAGGCTGGGCACTCTGCAGGGCGCCCCCTGAAATGGAAATTCCTACTGCAGGAAGGGGTTGCTGCCACCCTAGGAAGTACCGGGCTCCCAGGTACACATGGGGATCCCGCACAAGGGGCCAGACCTCAGCGTCCCTCCCAGCAGCCGGCCGAGGGGTGCAGCTCTGTCTCCCTTCAGCAGAGTTCCCACATGCTGCACTCATTTCCTTTCCCGGTCATTTATGAGGCTTTTTGGGGAATGCAGCAAGTTGACAATAAGGTTTGGATGTCTAGTTATTGAATGTCAGCAGTAGTATAGGAAAGTAGCTGAATCTCGCAGGAACATGAGCCTTACTTTGTTGGAAAAGGACTAAGAAAGGCACACTCTGCTGAGATTTTCTTCTAAATACTCTATTGAATGAGTTATACACTATGAGTCTTCCCGAGTTCGAAGTCTGATTTTTCTGCTAACCAGCAAGATCCATTTTATTTGCAAGTAGTTGTCTAGAGGGAATTTCTGTGCTTGCCATTTCGCAGGAAGGGGGCCCTCCTTTAACACACAGTAAAGCCCTCTGAACCTGGGGTCCAGGCCTCCTCTGTAACCATCACTTTGTTTGGTCTCATAGTGTTGCTTCTTTTACATTTTCTGTATTTAATTCTTTCCTCGACTCAGTCGCGAATGCCTTCCTAAACATGTGTAACACTTTGCGGTCTGCACACCCCACCTTCGTGAAGAGGGGTCCTCCCAGGGCAGAAGGGAGCAGAGAGGAAGAAGAGGGGGTGTATGAGCCAAGCAGGGTCAGGGGACAGTAAGTAGGGATCCACCAGAAAAGACTCAGGCTAAGAATCCAAGACTCCGAAAGGCTGTTGGACTTGCTAAAGGTTATACAGCAGCAGGTAAATGAAAGATCCACTATTCGGAGTCCAGTTTGCTGGTGTGGAGAATCCAAGGACTGAGGCGCACACCATTTGCCATCTGAGTTCCGACCCTTCTCGGTGAGACCTCACTGCTGTCTCTGGTGGCGCCACTGATCCGGAGGCCCCGCGGTGTGGGGATTTGGAAATGGTACAAGGGGAGAACAGGCGCCCCCGGATGGTGCCAGGGAGGACCCAGGGTGCTCGAGCACCACCCCCATGACTGCCTTCTTCCCACCAGGGGCGGATTCAGTAGCATCACCTCCTCCCCTGCCATACCCAAGACCCCCTGCAGCCTTTGTTACCTACGTGACTCACTGCTGGTGACCCCAAGGTCTCACCTGCTGCACTGGGCTGCCCCAGGGGTGGCCCACACTGTGGTCTGTTTTCACATCACCTCCTGGACGGTGTGATGTCCACTCCTCGTCTGTCTCCCAAATGACATCTGCTCCCAGTGGGCTGGAGGGAGCAGACCCGGCGTGGGTCTCAGGCGGCCTCCCTCGTCCCCACCCTGACCCCTGCAATCAGAACAAAACTGAGTGTGGTGCTGAGGCTTGAGCCCAAGGCCTTGCACTGAGCTGTATCCCCAGCCCTCTTTAAATTTTTTATTCTGAGACAGGGTCTTGCTAAATTGCTAAGTCACCCAGGCTGGGCTCAAACTTGGGCTCTTCCTGCCTCGGCCTCCCAGACGGCTGGGATTACAGGAGGGCACCACTGTGCCCGGCTCCTGGCATCGTGGTTGGATGCACATCGGTGCTTGTGAGCACTCTGGTTGGCAGCCGTGGCAAACCAAGGGCAGGGGTGGACAGAGCAGGCAGTGCTCGAGGAGCAGGGTGTGATGTGAGTGGGTGATTGGTTGGAAGAGACCAGAAAACCTCGGTGAACTAATCGCAAGCAGTTCTGAGCCCAGGTAACCAACAAGCCAGGGTAGAGATGAGTCCTTCTCCCCATCCCTGTTTGAAATTCCTCTCCTCTTCACAACAGGCCAATCTGACTTTTGATCCAGCGGCTCTTCTACCTGGAGCCTCACCCAAGAGTCCTGGCCTCAAGGCCCTCGTGTCGCCGTTTCACAGCCCTCCATCCACCCCCAGCAGCCCTGGCGTGCGGTCACGGCCCAGCGAGGCAGAGGAGGTACCTGTCAGCTTCGACCAGCCCCCGGAAGGGAGTCACCTGCCCTGCTATAACAAGGTACACCTGCCCGGAGCGCAGGGGCGTGCTTCCAGGCTGGGAAGGTGGGGGGACAACCCTGAATCCCTCTCCTCTTGTCCTGGAGCAAGGAGGACACATTTGACAACAAAGTCGAGCTGACCTTTCCAGGAGTGAGATCTCTTGTCTCCCTTGTAACTCCTGACTGAGGTCACCTCTCCACTCAGCTTGCCTCACGCATGCTTGCCCTGTCATTGCATCATCCCCCTGACAGGCAAGCTGAGGGGCCCCAGTCCTCCATCCTTTGTGGAGGGAGGGCAGGAACTGGTCCCAGCTGCACATATGGGGAAGGTCAGAAGCTGAGAACAAAACTAAAGGCCAGTGAAGGTGGCCAGGGTCTCTAGGACTCCGAAACATCTGGTTCTGCCCTTATGTGAATGGTCCAAAGTGACTCGCTATGGGTCCCACCATTCTGTAGTCAGAGAATGCACAAACTGTCCTTGGCCAGATGCATCTCGTGTCTGTGGTGCTGCCCTGACCCTTTGTGTGTGCTCTCTTCAGATCCCTTTGTGTGCTCTTCAGGGAGCAAGTTCAGTCCAGTGCTGGCTGAGCACGTGGCCAGCAACATGGGACAGAGCCAGGCAGGGGCTGCATGGATGGGGGTCTGTTTCCAGGGAATGCTACCCACATATGGCTTTGGAATGAAGGATGGAGAAGTCAGATCTTCCAAGCCAGTCAGGAAATCCATCTAGCAAAGAGGTCACAGATGTCAAAAAGGTGGAGCCAAGGGAGTGACTGGTAGCCAACAGGTCAGAGGGCAGGCTTGATCCTGCTGGCTGGGGGAAGGTGGAGGCCCTCCATCGCAGGGTGGCAGAGCCCCCTGGAAGCAGACAGGAGCCTGCAGAGAGCTGGTCTTTCCTGCAGGTGCTTGGGAGGAGCAGGGCTGCGGCCTGGTCATCATCGCAGGGCTTCAGCCTTCCAGCAGCAGCTCTCTGCCGGCCTTTGGGGCGGGGGCCCTGACCCTGCAAACCTCGGAGGTGGAAGTAGGCTTGGCAGATATCCAGCAGTCGGTCGGTGGGACAAGAATGACAGGAATGGCCAGAGGGTGCCTCGCTTGAGTCAAGCACAGCGTCCAATAAGAACGTTTCCATGATTCTTTTGACTGAGTCTGAGACCACAGGCCTCCACACAAGGATCGTCTCCAGGCAGCTCTGCTGGGGGCTCCTAAGATCTAGCTTCAGACTCTGCTGTCCTCACAGTGGCAGCTTTGTGGGGAGGAAGCTGGCCACCGGCTGTCCAGCTCAACACACAGAGGCTCCATGCCAGGGCCAGGCATGCCAGGCCCATCCCCCTTCCCTGGTGTGTTCACCTATGTCTTCCATCAGTTTCAAAATGTTAAAGCATGAGTCTTACAAAATAGAGGTAGGTTTTATTCAACATGTCAACTTATGAGGACACCTAGAAGTTGGTAAAGCACCCTCAAAGAGCATTTGAAAAACTGGTTATTCATTGGCAACTTTTTTTTTTTTTTTTTTTTTTGGTGTCAGGAATTGAACTCAGGACCTTGCACTTGCCAGGCAGGCACTGTAGTGCTGAGCTATATCCCCAGCTCACAGGCAACTTTTTAAAAAATGTTCCAACAACCACTGATAATTTCCTACTACTTTTCCGTAATTCGGTAAGCCCCCCTATTACTATGTTATCCTTCTTTTACTCTTTAAAATAATAGTAATAAAAAAAACTGTTCCAATAAAATTGCTAAGCTAAACTAGGGCGGTGGTGCGTATCTATAATCCCAGCACTCTGTGGGGTGGAGGCAGGAGGATCTCAAGTTCCACTCCAAAATCTTAAAAACTTAAAATACATGGGGGATGTAATGGTATGAAGGCCCTGACCTCAATCCCTAGTGCCAAAAACAGAAAATGCTAAATTGGACACTGAACCAGTTAGTTTTACAGGGCAATAAAAATCACTTTTTCTTGTTTCTGTGGGTGGGGTACCGGGAATTCAACTCAGGACCTCGCACTTGCCAGGCAGGTGCTGCGCTGCGCTGCTGAGCTGTATCCTTGGCCAAAGGAGACAAAAAGCCTGCCTGTAACTTCACACCCCCGCGGGCTCTAACTTATAACCCACCGCAGACGACGGTGCATCCTCCTAGGAGATGGTGACCTTGGCTGCGCCTCTGGGAGGCTGGAGACTTGAGCGGCTGCGGTCCTCCTCTTGTCTTCTGACAGACTGTGGCTAACTGTCCCTCACATCTCCTTCCAGGTGCGGACGAGGGGTTCCATCAAAAGGCGCCCCCCCTCCAGGAGGTTCCGAAGGTCTCAGTCAGACTGTGGGGACCTTGGAGATTTTGGGGCCACCGAGTCATCTCAGGAGAACGGTGCCAGGGAAAACGGGGATGAGGTGTTCCCACCCAAGAGCGACACCCTGGGCTCCCCGCCATCCCGTGGGCGTGCGCTGGGAAGCGGGGTGCTGGCGGGCAAGCCCCCTCTGAGGAGGACGTCGAGCTGCGTGGAGAGGCAGGAGGACAGGGCCAGATGGAGCTCGGAAGAGGTCAGCCGGAGCCCAGCACAAGAGGGGACCCCCGAGCCACCCCAGACCTCCAGCCCGGCGGAGGAGGCCGGGGATGCGCATGCGCACCCCGCAGAGGACAAGGCTGCCGGAGAGGAAGCAGAGCTGGGGAGGTCTGCAGAGGCAAAGCGGGGAGACGAAGAGGGCAGTCCCAGCCGGAAGAGCCAAGATACGAAGGTGGAGGCGGGGACCCAGGTGGAGGAGACCCCCGAGACTCCTCCCGCAGGCGTAGAAGGCAGCAGCGTCCCCATGAAGGAGGAAGGCGAGGAAAAGCAAGCGCCGGGGGAAGCTCAAAGCTGCAGCCCCAAGACCAGCCGTGCCACACTGGAGCCCAGCAGTGACATCCAGAGCGGGCCAGCTCTCCTCAGGGTAGGTGGCCAGGCTTGTGCACGCAGGGGCGGCCGTGCGAGCCACCTCGAGCTTTTGCCGTGTGCTTTTGCCGTGTACCCTCCTCAGTCCAGGGTAAATCAGTTCACCGTGCGGAAGCAAAGACACCAGGTTCTGCTTCATGCCGTCTGCAAGGGGACAGGCTGTGGCCGGTGGCCGAGGACGAGGACAGAGAGGGCAGTGTGTTGGTGCTGTGCCCAGCTTCTCGCTGACAGGGCTCTGGGAGAGAGATTGGCACAGCTCGGTCACTGGCCCGGCAGCATCCACCAGAGTCGCCGGTGTGATGAAGGTGGCACTGGAGCTGGGCCGTAGGAAGGAGCATAGCGTGACTTCCAGGCATTTATCAGCTGCGCAGGAAGAGGGAGGTTCCCCCGCCCTGTCCTGCTGTCAGGGCCCACCCCGGCGGGGCCTCCCTCCCACTGTCTGTGCTGTGGGTGCCGAACCAGCCGAGGACCTGGAAGTTCCCCAAGAGCAACTCAGCACCAGGCTGGCTTTGCTCAGCGGCAGAACACTCACCTAGCATGTGTGAAGCCCTAGGTTTGATCCTTACCACTGCAAAAAGAAACAGAAAAACTCAGGGTCCCACCTCCTACCCCCAGCCCTGATGACCTCATCAGCTTGTCACCCCCCAAGCTGTTTCTTTTCCCTTTCTGTTAATTTGGTCACCCATTCACTTACCCACTGCTGGCCTCCTGGACCAGCAGCCTCTTACCTGGCCCGCTGGATGAGTAGGTAGATAAACTTTTTCCTTTATACTTGTGTTGTTGTTTGTGGTGCTGGGAATTAAACCCAGGGCCTTTACACTGAGCTACATCCCCAGCCCTTTTTAAAAATGTTTTAATTTGAGACAGGGACTTGCTAAGTCAATAAATATCCCAGGCTGGGCTCTAACCTCCTGCCTCAGTCTCCCAGAGGGCTGGGACTACAGGTGTGTACCACAGTGTTGGGCTGGCTGATTTATTCTTTGCTGAAATTACCCAACTTTCTTGTTAGAGTTGCCTTTTAGAGTACCACAAACTTGGAGGCTTAAAACAACCAAGATTATAAACAGGTTGGCTTGCTGTGGGGGTTCTGAAGGGGGAGGCTTTCCTCTCCTGGGGGCACCGTGTGCCAGCCCTGAAAGCCTGCCTCCTCCGCCAGCCTGTCTTTGCACAGCCCTTCCCATGCCTGTGTCTCAGGGCTGCTGTCTCTTGTCTGATCAGGTACTGTCGTTGGATGTAGGGCCCCAAATCCAGAAGTATCTTGTTACTGGATCCTAATACAGCCAGACACCCCACTCTCACTTCTTGGTCCCCAGTTCTTTGTGCACTTGATAAAGACACCTAGGCCTTGCAGAAGTCTAGGCATAATTCACTGTAGAGACAGAGGAAGTTACACCATCAAGCGAGAAGGCAGGCAGTGCTGTGAAGGCATCAAAAATGAGCACAAGTTTGATTTATTTCTATGTGCCCAGAGTTACTCTTGGCGTCTTATGACACTAATTATGACAGCTAATTATGACACTTATCAACATCTTATTTGGAAGTTACTTTGAAATTACGAAATACTTTCCTGTCCCTTTTGTTCGTTGGTTGTTTGGTCGGTCTCACTATGCCGTTCAGGCTGGCTTTGAACTCATTATGTAGCCCAGGCTAACCTCAAACTCATAGTGATTCTCCTGCCTCAGCCTCCCAAATGCTGGGATTACAAGCATGCATCAGCACACCAAGCTTCCTGTCCCCTTTTTTTTTTTTTTTTTTTTTTTGCCTATTTGGTCTTTTTCGGGACAGGGTCTTGCTATGCAGTTCAGGCTGGCCTTGAGCTCACTTTATAGCTGTTCAGGCTGGTCGTGAACTTGCACTGATCCTCCTGCCTCAGCCTCCCAAGTGTTGGGATTTCAGGCATACACCGCCACGCCCAGCATTCCAGTCCCTTTTAGATGGGCAGTGTTTCCTGAGGAGCTTGAATCATGTAAGGAACTTACGAAAGAGAATTTGAAAAGATAAATTCTTCTTTTGTTTTGTTTTGTTTTGTTTTGTTTTTGAGACAGGGTCTCGCTATGTAGTCCAGGCTGGCCTTGAACTTACTATGCAGCCCAGGCTGGCCCTGCACTCACAGCAGTCCTCTTGCCTCAGCCTCCCAAGTGTTGGGATTATAGGCATGCACCGCCATGCCCAGCATTCCAGTCCCTTTTAAATGGGCAATGTTTCCTGAGAAGCTTGAATCATGTAAGGAACTTATGAAAGAGAATTTGAAAAGATAAATTCTTCTTTTGTTTTGTTTTGTTTTGTTTTGTTTTGTTTTTGAGACAGGGTTTCACAATGTAGTCTAGGCTGGCCTTGAACTCATAGCAATCCTCTTGCCTCAGCCTCCCAAGTGCTAGGAAAATTCTTGATTTAAACCAGGTCCCAGCCCAACGTCGGAGGGTCTTAAAGAACAGTTCCTTTCCTGATATCGCTGGGCAGTGGGCCATGGCAACCAGGAATGCTGTGTGCCTTGTTGTGGGGTCAGATGACCAGGCAGCCAGGTGTCAGACATGCCAGGCACAGTGTGACACCTTAAGATGCCGTTGTGCTCCATGGGATCACTTTAGGTCCGAGGCCTAAGGAATGACTTATAAATGTGTTAGACATTGAAATCTTTCTTTGCTTAACTTTTGCAACACAGGCTGTCACCCCACCCCCTTGTCCTGCTAACGTCTAATTACTTACACTTACCGAACAATCTCATCTTGAGATTCTTCATTACATCTACAAAGACCCCATTCCCAGACAAGGTCATAACACTAGGGAGCAGGGATGGGACCGGACACACCTGTCTCTCCCTGACTGCAGCCTCCCTGTGCTCCAGCTTGGCTGATGTTCTTGTTTTTCAAACACACCAGGCTCATTCCCACCTCTGAGCTCCATCCTTCCACGCCTCCTGATCCAGCCCATGCCTCGGTCTCAGCCACTCTGTTCCCCAAGCCTCTGGTCTAGAGAGGAAGAAACCAGCCCCGCAAGAGAGCTCTGGAGGTGTCCGGGTCACAGAGCTCAGGCAGTGCTGACAGATGGGGGAATGCTGCAGTCAGCAGTCAGTTCTCACCGGGCTCCTCCGCCCAGGCACTGCGGGAAGTTCATCTGCAAGGGGCGTTGCCTTCGGTCTTCTTTTGTTCCGCTCAAAGCTGGGCACCATTAGAATCAAACTACCCGGGCACTAGTGCCCAAGGACTCGCCAGTAAGAGGGTTTGCCCTGCCCCAGATGTGGCAGTGGCCAGAATTCTCACCGCCTGACCCCCTCCCTGTCTTGTGCCCTGATCGGTAGAAATAAGTTGATCAGATAAGCTAGTTATGGTCACACTCATGCAGTCAGCATTTAACCCGTGCCCATTTTCCCTTCCACCACAGTCAAAGAGGAAGAAAGGCAGAAACAAGTACAACCAGATATAGTGGTAGAATCAGTAGGATTCTCCTCCAGGGCTGCTTTGTGAACACAAAGGAGGAGGCCAGGTTCTTCAAAGAAGGCAGGGGACCATTCCCTGATTATGCCAAACGCACCAGATAGAAGAAAGCACTTCGTTTCTTCTGGACACGAGGGTGCATACCTGTAACCCAGCACTCTGCAAGGCTGCGGCAGGAGGATCAAAAGTTCAACACCAGCTCGGGCAATTTAGCAACTTAGGGAGAGCCTATCTCAAATTTAAAAACTAAAAAAAAAAAAGGCCGGGGATGTGTTCAGTGTTAAGACCCTGAGTTCAGTTCCCAGCCTTAGGAATTTCAGACCACCCAGGCCCGCACTTTTGATGAGGACGGGTAGCCCTGGGAAGAGGGCATAAAGTCAGCTGCAACTCTGCCACTTAAAATGAATTTAACACCTGTTTTTCAAACACTCATTATGTGTCCAGTCCTGGGGGGCAGGGACTCCCCAGTTCGCAAACACCCACACACAGGCGGTCCAGATGTTGTGACGTCACCGCTGGACTTTGATGTCCCAACAGGAAGTGCCAGCTTTTCTAACTGCCTGGTTCAACTGCTTTTCCAAGTCATTCTCTCTGCTTTTGCAACATTTGGTTTGACCTTCCTTTTGCCCTCCACCCACCTCCAAGCATTTGCTTTGCCTTTTCCTTCCTTCCCCGCCAGGGGAACTGCGCACTGGCACAGCGTGTTCATGGCTGTTCTCCCTTTTCCGTTCCCCCCGGGGGCACTCTGGTCTGCAGCCGCACCTCCACTCTCTGGCCATTCACTGCCGGTCCGAGCCCCCTCTCTTCCTCTCCCTTCCCAGCACCTCCACGATGCCAGCGCTGGCCTTTCTCTCTGATCTCTGTGATCATAACTCATTCCCAGCAGAATTCTTTATCTCTACCCTGCACATCAGCACCTAATGCATCTTCCTAAAAGTGCCATCTCTGGCCAGGTGGCACCCTGATGCACGCTTCTTATCCTATCCCTAGGGAGGCTGAGGCAGAAGGACTGCCATTTGAGTCTGAGGTCAGCCTGGGCTACATAGAAAGTTCAAAACTAGCTTGCATGATGGAGCGAGTCTCTATCTCAGAAGCAAACACATTAAAAAAAAAAAAAAAAAACCCATCTCAGTTGTCTGCTCTTCTACCCTAAACTTGTTGCTGTCTACCTACTAAGCTTTGCCAGGGGCCTGAACCTTTCCTGTCCCCACAGTGGGGCCGAGGACTCCACCCACCATCCCATGCTGGGACCTCCCAGCTCTCACTGTCCCTTCCCCAAAACCTACCCTGCCACCTGCTATGGCTCCCGCCCCGCGTGGGCTCAGCCCTCCCTGCCGCCGCATCTCTGCCTTCTCCCAGCCCTTTGCTGCCTACCCCCAGGACAAACAGCCCCAGCTCCCTGCACACCTGCTTAGGCTCAGGATGGTCCACACCTCACACAGTGGGCACTTCCCTAAGCGGCTGTGTTCCTCAACTCAGTACTGACAGAGACAGGGCCAGAGCTTCAGCGCCGCTCCTGGCAAAGGATACCTCCGAGTAGATGGCAAACAAATAGCCACTTTCCTGTCCCTTCACTCACGTATCAGTCTTTATTTTTTGCAGTGCTGGGAATCAAACACAGGGCTGTGTGCATGGCGAGCAGGTGCTCTACCACTGAGCTACGCACCTACCCGGAAATCTTACTTTCACCTTTGCCTGTTCTTTCGCCACATTTTATGTTGCCAGAGAATCTTGAGCAGTGTTTTAGGTAGACAAAGTTGAGTGGCAGTGAGAGGACAGGGCAGTGGGACAGAGGAAGCCAGGCATCAAAGGAGGAGCAGTAGTGGCCTCGTAGGTGAGGCCAGAGCTCTGGTCCCTGGGTTTGAGTCCTGACTCCTACACTTACTAGCTGTGTGACTTAAGGAAGCCTCTTCCCCTCTCTGCACCTTGGGTGTCTCACCTCTAACACAGAGTTAATAGAGGAGCCTAACTCGTACCGCTTTTGTGAGGCTTGAATGAGGTGATGTGTGTAAAAATTTATGTCAGGCATGTAATGTTATTCTCACTGTCATTCCTGCTGTTCTTCCAGAACGTGAGCCAAGTGCCAGGATTTCTCCCCGCTTCCTAACTCATTCTTTCCTCTCCTGTTCCCAGGATGAGCCCCCGGTCCGGGATACTAAAATGTGAAGCAGAGCTCACGGTGCCCTAGTGACGAAGCTGCCGGAGACGTCTCTTTGGAAGTGGCAGAGGTTATAGGAGCAGAAGCAGCTCCTATAATCACTTCAGTATTAGCCTGTGGCCCAGGGTTTCCAAGTGAATATTCTGCACAGGCAGAGGTTGGATATTTAAAACAGTAAACCATGGTGACACCTCACCTGGGATCCCGGCCGGCCTGGGGACCCTGGGACATTCCCCATGCTTTGGCTGCCGGCCTCCTCACTCGGCTCCAGTGAAGTTTATCAGATGTCGCCTGTGTAAAGTTACAGCCTTTTTATTGTTCTGAAATGTTTACGGTTCTCAAATATCAGTAAAAATTAATTCTAAATGAACGGAAACAAAAGTAGCCTTGCTGAAAAATACAAGCAAAAGACCTTAAGTTCTATCGAGACCCTAGAGACAGCCTGGCACCTTGCTCCAAATAGGAATTGCACAATTGATTTTGAAAACATTGGGCTAGAAGAGATAATTGAACTTAAAGAGAAATGTGTAAGCCAGAGGTGGTGGCGCATGCCTGTAATCCCAGAACTCAGGGAGGCTGAGCCAGGAGGGTTGCAAGTCTAACCTCAACCTGGGCAATTTAGGAACTTAGTGAGACCCTGTCTCAAAATAAACAATAAAAAAGCGCTGGAGACGTAGCTCAGTGCAAGGCCCTGAGTTCAATTCCCAGTACCATGGAGTGTGTCAGTTCTACTCACAGGGCCCTTTCTGTTCCCATAGCTTTCTAGTTCCCAGCCTTCTATCACTCTTGAGGATGCAGTGGGACACCTGCGGAGAGGCAGGATATCCTGCTGCATGCTGCATTTCCGCATCCTTCAGCAGTGGTATCCCAGGATGGGTGCTGTCACTTACCTGTCAGGATGAATTTCGCGCTCACAGACCCACTCTGAGCCAGACTCGTGCTCCTCAGGAGGCGCCCGAACATCGAATGTGCAAGCTGCCTTAGAAAACATCCTCCCTCACTTCCTGGGAAGCTTTTCCTGAACCTAAACCAGGTTTTCATCCTGGCTCAGAAAGAATGAGCTGGGGACCTCTTCTCCTTTCCTAGGTAGCTGCCGCTCCCCACCCCTCTGCCTGGATAAGCAGGAGGCTTTGCAGAGGAGAAGCGGTGATGCCTCACCCGCCTCGCACACTCCTGTGGAAAGAGCAAGCTCAATCTTCAGTCTGCTTTGAGCATTTCCGAGTCTCCACTTGCCAGCTAGATCATGTGGAACAGTTGTTTCCTGGAGGTCCCTTAGGACAAGCCCTGCCTGCTTCACAGAATTCTCTGGCACAAAAAAGGCCTCACGTCACCAGTGGTACCTCAGTTTCCTCATCCAATTTACAGTTTTTCTCGTTTCAGAATAGTGTTAATATTTAGGGTATATATATTTTTTTTTTCCGAAGCTATTTTTAAATAGTTTGTAACTCGTAACAGACTTGTAACCTGGTTGAGATTGATATTGTCACAACTATCATAAACTTTGGATTTTAACAGAATTCGAAAGATATGTGTGTCAGTTATTTTTTGAGACATATACACTGCTGGCCTCTCTAACAGCAGAGAGGTCTGCCCTCTAAATTCATGCATGCCTTCGGGCTGGGCAGACCCTCACACAGCTCTGGGCAAGCATTTTGTGAGAAGGAGGTAGCTGTGAACCTGGGATGAAAGGGGCCACACTCTCTTATTTAAGAAAGGCAGGGGACACACAGTGTGGATGACAGATGTGAAAATAAGATTGTTTTCTCAGCTGGGTGTGTGTGGTGGTGAATACCTGTAATCTCTGGGAGGCTGGGACAGGCAGATCACAAGTTCAAGCCTAGTTTGGGTAATTTAGCGGTGAAGGGTTCTCCCTCCTGAGCAACACACACAAACACACACATACTGCGACAGCAAACCATCTACATCTTATGTAGCACAAAGTCATGACCAGGCTGGGAAGACTCTTTCAGGCTTCCTTAAAGGCTGGAAAAAGCACTAATTCTTCCACAGGGACAGGCTGAAGTCCCACCCACCATCTTTGCAGCCCAGTTTCACTTTCAAGTTGTGTCCTTCCTTCCTCAAGAGGGAGTGGGAGAAAAAGCCAGGATGCTTTGAGGGGACACACCAGTATCTAAAAGAGGGCCGGGACACTGTCCCAGCCAAACAGAACGAGGGAACCAGGGGACCACCAGGAACCCCCAGGGGCCATATATTTGGAAGTCACCAAGGCCCCAGTTGGTTGCAAGCAGGTTTGGGCTGGAGACTGTTGCCTAGATGTCCAGTAACACATACATCCCTGGACAGGGTCCTTGGAGCTTCCCAAGCCGCCCCCCCCCAATAGAATTAAGTTGTAGGTTCACTGACTCCCATCATGGAAAAAGAATTTCAGCTCTCATCGTAAGAGGCATAAAGGGATTTACTATGAGGCAGACATTTTAAAAGTATACACTCAGAGAAATAAGAGAGAGGTGCCTTCTGACCTGGAGCTGGGTATATCTGAGGAGCTTGAGGTGTCTTCAAGATGGGCAATCCCGATGTGTGTGTCGGCTCAGCCTCCTGGTGCGTCAGGACGCAAACCTTTCCCACTGCTTTGAGGTTGAGATCTGTTGTGGCTGATGCTGCTTCCCTGTGGATTGAAGTCTGTGGGAGGAAGTGTCATTTACAAGTAAAAACCACAGGCCCAGAGCCCAATTTACAGGGTTATTGTGTCTTTCAGGCCCCCAGGAATTTTTTTTAAGTGAATTTCCTAGAAGGGAAAAAGTCTTCAGTAACATGTATCCCCAAGCTGCAGTTTTTCCAAAAAGAATGATTCCAAAATTCTGATTTTCCTTGTCTCTTTGTTACCAATCTTTATTTCTTCTATCCTACCTCATAATATATGTCAAATAAGGGAATAAATGAGTGGAGAGGCAACCTTGGCCCATTTGCCACATAGGCTCTTTTGGTTTTTGTTTTGTTTTGTTTTTTGTTTTTTCCGGTACCGGGAATCGAACTGACGACCTTGCCAGGCAGGCGCTGTGCCACTGAGCTAAACCCCCAGCCCCCACATAGGCTCTTTTGAATACAGGAAAGTTTAATACCGCTGAGCGAATAAAGGCTCAGCTGCTGACGTCAGAGATCCAAGTCCAACTGGCTGAGGAAAGCACAGCTGCATCTCCCTGTGAGTTCCTCCCATTTACAACTGGAAAGTCCACGGACAGACTTTACCACAGCCACTCAAGCCAAGTCAGGAATCTCTCCTAATATTAACCTCCACTTTCCTCTGTGTTGGCCATAAGGGCAGGCAGGCTCCTCCCAGGGAGGAGCTTAAACCTTCCCAGTCACTGTGGGGAAGAATCCTGCAGGGCTTCGCACAGCCCCGGAGTGGTTCGTGTGCCCACTCCTGAGCCCATAGTGGGGACCCAGAAGAGGCAGGGGTCACACATGTGTCCCTCCTGGAGCTAGGGGCCAGATAAGTCAGTCCTGTCAAATCCACAAGGCGATTCCACAACCTAAGGTCAGGGTGATGTGGTTATAGGCAGCTAAGCCAGGTAAAAGTTAACATATAGTCAAAGAGGGGCTGAGCTCTCAAGGAAGTCAGCACAAAAATAAAGACATCAAAATTGTGGCTGGAGGCAAATCTAGAGAAGGCCAGGCCTCAAGACAAAGACACAGCTGGGGGTGGTGGCGCACACCTGTAGTCCTGGCACTTGGGAGGCTGAAGTAGAAGGATTGCCTCAAGTTCAAGACCACCCTGGTGAGTTTAAGACCACCATAGCGAGTTCAAGGCCAGTCTG